AAAAGAGTCATAGTAGTTGCTTATGACTTTAAAGCATTTAGTAGACCTACTAACTTTTAAAATTATTTAATATTTCTTTCATAAATTCCCTTTCAGAAATCTTTTTACGACTCACACAAACCATTTACAACGTTCTTGGACTTTCTAACTTGTCCTAAATGTCTCTTTTCCTAAACAACCAGTCATTTTACTTTAGGACAAGGATTTACCATTCAAGAACCTTTCTCATATAAAATATCTTTTCTTTATAACCTTCCTCACCAAAAATACCTCTTTATCTTTATAACCTTTGAATTAAACAAAAGTAATTTTCCTTTGTTATAAAGTTAAGGGTTGTACCGCATATTGCTGCATGAGTCCCATGAAAAGGGAGCAGATAAAAAGATTGTCTACATACTTTAAAAGTTATCCCTCTCAAGAGATTGCTCAGTTAGTTTTTTGTTGTTGTTGTTTTTTGCTAGGGCTTGTTTGAGTAAGAGTGGGCTATTTCTAAACCCTTGAAGTAGGAACATTTAGGTTGAAGTTATTGGTTAAAGATTTCGGTAGCTTTTTGGGAGAAATAGGGCTATTAGAGGGAAAGATGAATTCAAAGATTGAGTAAATATTAAGACATCCATCTTGGAAAGTATATTTTTGCCCCAAGGAGATATGGAGTATTTAGATATTACCAGAGATTGGTGAGTGAATGGTAATTGGTCCCTCAAGTAGTATAAAGGTGTGTGAATCCCAACAGGATTTGGAGAAGAGTTGCTTAGAGAAGGAGATTAGCACAGAGTAGGCAGCTCTTAAACTCAAAAGGGAAACTTTAAATTTTACTTGCCACCTTCACAGTTGCCCTTGGCTTTGTCCTGTTGGTGACAATGTCTGATTTGGAAAACAGCTGGAGTGGAGAGCCCTTTCAGCTCAAGGCCAACAGGGGTTGGAATTCTGTCTCAGGGGCCCTTCAGCCTTCAGGACAGTCCCATCTCCAGTGGTCAAGTTTGTGACAGACAGGGCAAGACATGTGGGCCTTTTTCCCATTTATCCCATTGAGGCAGTTTGCCTTCCAGTGACCTGGCTTTCTGCACCAATGGCACTTACCTGCAGGAGTATCCTTAGGGCAATTTGGAGGGGGCTGGTAGGCTTGCAAAGCAGCCAATAGTTGAGCCTGCCTCTAGTCCCTACATTTCTCTTTCTCCCTAGCCCTGTCCTCCTTAAACTGCTCTCAGTTATAAAAGACTGAGGAGGCTAATTTGAGGATTTCCTGCATAAAGGCACTAAGTTCTAAGGCTGACTTTTGTAATTTCCTTCCAGTTGATTTTTAGACCAAACAATATTATAAAGAAAAACTAGGTTGTTTTGTTTTAAGGCTTAGGAGAATGAAACTTCTCCCAGTTTGACAGATGCATCTGAGGGGCATGTCCTGTGATCTGGAGACACAATTACCCATCTGCAAAGAGAGAAAAGAAGAGGAAAAAGTAAAAAGATGGCACCCTTTCTTACTTTTCTATTATCCTGAATAGGGTGTTTCCCATTTGTCCTTAGGGTTCTGGAATAAATTGGTCTTATCATGTACCCTTAACCTTGGTCCCATCTTATCACAAGTACCCACTTGCGAACAGAGGAGATACTGGAGTGAAAAGGGGGCCCCCTGTTCATCCTTGGGGTTCTGGAATGAACTGATCTTACCATGAACCCCTAACCTTGCCTTTGTCTCTGTTCTAATGATAATCTGTTAGCCTAGGACCGGCCTTCATCTATGTCCTGTGGGTGTCTTGCTCCTGCAGTCTTGGGCTGGCCTATATCCTTGTCTCATGACCTTATAGTGACTCTTACTCAGAACATTCCAGCAACAAAATGATTATTTCTTTTCTCAGAGTCCCATTTCCCATGTTCTTTAAGTAGACGAGAAGCCTGGTTTTCAGCTAACTGCTACAAGGGGCTGGACTTCCCTCCCTTCGAATATGACCTTGAAGGTCTTGATACATCTTGACAAGGGCATGGAAGTGATTAGAGAAATGGAGCCTACAGGAGGAAGTAGAAGGAAGCGAGGAATACTCAGGGAAAGCCTTTTTATGTTCACAAAAATATCAGCCCTTGGATTTGAGAGGGCGACATTTATTTGCCCTCTTGACATAAAAAAGTAACCCCCACAGGACTTGGAGCTTGGGATAAGAACACACAAATGGCAAAAGAAGAATTTCCATCTTCCCAAAGGAGTGCTAACTCAAAAAAAAAAAAAAAAAAAAAAAAAAAGAGTGAGGTCCTATGCAGGTAGACAAACTGCTTCAAAAGCCACCAGAAAACTTGGCCCTGGGGTGTAAAAGGAGAACATATGGTAAGTCATAAGGAGCTGGCAGAGCCAGAGCTCCAATTAATGTCTGTTCCAGCAATGAGCCGGCAGACAGGGGAAGGGTTGGAAGTCATCTGTGCTGGTAGAGTAAAAACAAGCATAAATCTCAGGGGATAATCACAAAGAGAGCCCATGTCTTTGCTGCTGAGCAGATGCAGCAAGAGCTGGAGACACACAAATAACAGGGAGTGTGTGTTTTAAGGCAGAGAAAACAGCAACATAGCATGTGAAGTGAAACCAGAGAAGAGACAGACTTGCCCCTGAGGCGGACAGTCAGTGGGTGTGCAAGGCCATTTCAGAATACACACAGGGAAAACAGGAGAATAGACAGTGCAGATTTTTTGGAAAGAGTGGATTTTAGTTGACAAAGCAGAGGGAACCCCAGATATTGCACCGTTTTAGGCTTTAGCCCTGCCACTCTTGTGAGCTTCCTCTCCAGGAGGGCCATTACTGCCTCAGATCTACTCAGTGCAGACTCCAACGACCTTCCCAACCCCTCGAGCTACCCGTCAGGGTGAGCTGAGAGATCAGCTGGGGTAGCAGAGCCTCTGTGGCTGAGAGGAATCATTCTGAGGGTTGGTAAGTAGGCAGGAGAGTGAAAGGAGAGAAGGAAACTGTGTTCAGGGGTTGAACACCCCCAGCTGAAGAAGGTGAGAGGCAGAGATCTCTTACCACTAGAGAAGGTAACCGAGCCACATGACACCAAATTATGTTAGCAGCAGTGAATCCATACAGGTCTGCAGCAACCCCAATTCTTGCCTCCTCAGAAGACAAAAATTCAACTGAGGGGCATAAGGCAGAATGAGAGACCAAGGCAAGTGTTAGAGCAGGAGTCAAAGGTTATTAAAAAGCATTAGAGCAGGAATTAAAGGAAGTAAAGTTCTCTAGAAAGAGGGCCAAGCGAGCAACTTGAGAGATCAAGTGCCAGGTTTCACCTTGGACTTGGGTTCTTACTTATTGGCATTCTGCACGTGCAGTGGCCTCCCAGCACCTGGGAGGGGCTACATGTGCAATGTGTTTACTGGAATTGTACGCATGCTTACTTTAGGCATTCTTCCCTTACCAGTTGAGTGTTCCTAGAAGGTCATATACCAGTTAAACTCTGCCACTTTGCCTCTTGATGTGCATGCTTGAGTTCACTCACTCACCTCCTGAGATCTTATCTGGAAGCTGCTGATCACCAGCTTCAGGTGTTTCTATATACTGGGAGATGGCCTTTCCCTGGAACCATCTGTGGTCAATTATTATTTTAGAGACACAGTGTAACAACTGATATTTCTACTGTGGGGTGGGGAGTCCTCTCCTCTGCTCACATCTGCCTACCTACTACAACAAAGCTTCTAAGGAAATATATGACCAGATAAGAGAGTATGGTGTGTGCTTAACAAGCATTTTGGTAAATAAATGTGCAGTAGGCATGGGAGCATAGCATGGGAAAGGAAAGGGAGCAGAGGTTCACAGCACATTCTGAGATTGTATTTCCAAATGAAAGGTAAAACATATACAGTTTGTCTCAAAGTTACATCTTAAGACTGGGAGGAGGAAGAGGGAAAGGAAAAGAAGGAAAAAAGCACAAAGCACAGTCTGAGAACCCATTCTTGGCAGTCTGGCTGTCCCTAAAGATGCTGTCACACAATGGAAACAGATGGACCCATGAGTCCACAGCCCCAAACTCAAGCAGGCTCCAGACCCCACTTCATACTAGGCATCCAGTACACAAAAATAATGAAGACATAGTCCCTACCCTCAATAACTTTATAGAAATAAATAAATATCAGTTTACAGTCTAATGGAGGAATCAGATAAATGTAATGCGGGGATACATGTCAAAATGGAAGTAGGTCTAAGGTTCGGGGGCACCCCAGTAAAGCATAGTAAAAGCTATGGAGATCACTATGGGATATTTCAGAGGAGGTACCCCTGCAGTTGGATAAATAGTTCTGGAGCTCAAGACTGAGCGTTAAGGAGAATGATATGGGGATTATTGGTCATAGGTAGAAGCAGCCTCATTAAATGGATGAGCACTCCCAGGAGCATGAATGAAGTAAAATGAGAAGAGAACCAGGATTTGGAACTGTGGGAACCAGCCTCTAGACGGCCGCTATGATCCCTGCCCACTGGCGCTCACGCTGTGTAAGCTCCTCACACCACACCAGAGTTGCCAGAGGTAATGATCCGTCACGTCCAAGGTTAGGATGTAAGAAACAGAGCATCCTGTGCTCTCTCTCTCTCTCTCTCTCTCTCTCTACATATATATATATATATATATATATATATATATATATGTCTCCACTCTGGCTCCATATTGGGAGCATCCCTATTGCAAACCCATGTGGCAAAGACCTCAGTCCTCCACCCTATAGACAGCGAGGAACTAAGACCTGTTTGCTCAATCATTTGAGTGAGATTGGAAGCGCATCTCTCAGCCCCAATCAAGTCTTGAGACAACTACAGCCCTGCTGTCAGCATAGCTGCAACCTCATGAGAGATCCTAAGCCAGAACCACCCAGCTACACTGTTCCCAGATTCCTGACTCTCAGAAAGTGTGAGATAACACGCTTTCAAGCTGTTAAGTTTTAGGATAATTTGTTATGCAGCAATAGATAACTAATATAGGAACCTTGGTGAGAGGTAACCCATTGAAGAGACAGAGCAGGAAATTCTAAAATATGAGACATTTTAAAAATAAACCAACCATAATTAAAAGAGTATTGTGCTTCCTGCGTCCGCAGCTGGCTCCAGTCCTGGCGGCTTGGGTGGCGGCGGCTTCGGGCGGTCGCCTGGCTGCTCTTCGGGGCGGCGACCTGGCTCACGCGCGGCCCGCCCCAGCCTTCACCGCCGCAACCTCTGACGCCGGCATAAGGGCCACGTGTTCTGAAATTACTTTGAGACAAGAAGTTTTGAAAGATGGTTTCCACAGAGACCTTTTAATAAAAGTGAAGTTTGGAGAAGGCATTGAGGACTTACAGAAGTACTGACTCTTAATTAAACAGTACATTCCTACAGGACTTTTTGTGGATCCATATGAGTTGGCTTCATTATGAGAGAGAAACTTAACAGAGACAATGATGGTTTTGGAAATTTTTGATATAGAGGCCCCTAACTATTTGTCCAAGGAATCTGAAGTTCTCATTTATGCCAGACAAGATTCACAGTGCATTGATTGTTTTCAAGTCTTTTTGCCTGTGTACTACCGCTATCATCGGCCACATAGTAAAGATGGAGAAACCTTTACTGAGCCAGATTTGTTGATGTATTGTGACCAAGTGTTCCCGATTTTGAAATGTTGGGCCCACTCAGAAGTGGCAGCTCCTTGTGCTTTGGAGAATGAGGATATCTGCCCGTGGAACAAGATGAAGTATAAATAAGTATATAAGAATGTGACTCTGCAGGTTCCACTGGGACTGACTATACATACCTCTTTAGTATGTTCTGTTGACTCTGCTCATTACAATCCTGTGCTCTACTTTGATCCTTGTAACAGTTTTCAAATATGGCCATTTTTCCCTATAAGTTTTATGTAGTTAAATACTTCCTAGAAACCTAAATAAGATCTATTAAATTCTGATGAGAGGTGTTCTTCTAGAATTGAGCTAATAACTTTTATCATTTGTCTTCATTTGTGGCCAAAATTATGTTTACTAGAGGAAATCTGGGATCATTCTCAGCTAATTCCAAAATTTAGTGCTCTATTGCATAGATCCTCGGTAATCCTCAAGCATCAGATGCCGTAAGAGGAAACTTAATTCTGCTAAATTGATGTTTATTTTGTGAGAAGTGACTTTATATTCATTTGGGATAGAAACATTATTTCTTTATGTAGTGGAGACAAATTATTCTCCTTTTGTGAATACTTTCCATTTAAGCTAAAAATTGTGAAAACCATACAAATAAGAATAAAATAGGCCAGGCACAGTGGCTCACGCCTTTAATCCCAGCATTTTGGGAGGCTGAGGTGGGTGGATCACCTGAGGACTGGAGTTAGAGATCACCTTGGTGTAACCCTGTCTCTACTAAAAACACAAAAATTAGCTGGGCACGGTGGTGGGTACCTTTAGTCCTAGCTAATTGGGAGGGAGATATGGGAGAATCACTTGCACCTGGGAGGCAGAGGTTCCAGAGAGCCAAGATTGCACCACTGCACTCCAGTTTGGGTGACAGAGTGAGACCCTATCTCCAAAGGAAAAAAAAAAAAAAAAAAGAATAAAATCACTTGGGATGAAAATCATGTTTATTTAAATTTTTTTTTTTTTTTTTTGAGAAAGAAAGAAAGAGAAAGTAAAAGGGGGAGAGAGAACAGGAGTCTTGCTCTATTGCCCAGGCTGGAATGCAATCTAAAAATAGGTAATAAAAACCTCTTTTATGTCAATAATTGTACTTAACAATGGAGACAGGAAGGAATAAGGGAAGAAAATAACAAACAGCCAACTAATATTTCATTTAAGTCTGTGAGATACTATGCAAATGCTGAAGAGTGATTTACTTCCAATTATGTAGTCACTTTCAGAATAGGTGTAATATGATACTGAGAAAAATGTATGTTCTGTAGACCTGGGGTGGTGAATTCTATAAATATTCACTAAGTTTGCTTATTCCAGGTCTAAATTCAGATCATAGATGTCCCTATCAATTTTCTATCTCGTTGATCCGTCGAGTATTAACAATGTGGTATCAAAAACTCCCACTATTATTGTGCTGGAGTCCAAGTCTATAAGTCATTAAGAACTCGTCTTATGTATCTGGGTGCTTCTATATTGGGTGCATATATATTTATGATCATTAACTCCTGTTGTTGCATTGATCCTTTTACCATTATGTAATGTCCTTCTTTGTTTCTTTTAGTCTTTGCTGCTATTATAGTCTATTTTGTCAGAGACAAAAGTTACAACTCCTGTTTTTTTGTTTGTTTGCTTTTTGTTTTTGTTTTTTGCTCTCCATTTGATTAGTAAATCTTCCTCCAACCCTTTGTTTTGAGTCTTTGTGTGTCATTGCTTGTGAGATAGATCTGGATACAGCATCCCGATGGGTTTTGACTTTTTATTCAATTTGCCTGTCTGTGTCTTTAATTAGGGCATTTAATCCATCTAAATTTAGGATTAATATTAATATTTGGGAGTTCAATACTGTAATTTAATGCTAGCTGGCTATTTTGCCTGTTAGTTGATGTAGGTTCTTCATTATAGAGATAATCTTTACGTTTTGGTAAGTTTTTGGGATGACTGATACTGGTTGTTCCTTTCTGTGTGTAGTGCTTCTTTCAGAAGCTCTTGTAAAGCAGACCTGGTGGTGATGAAATCTCTGAGTGCTTGCTTGTTCATGAAAAATTTTATTTTTCCTTCACTTATGAAGTTTAGTTTGGCTGGATATGAGATTCTGGGTTGAAAATTCTTTTCTTTGAGGATATTGAATATTGACCCCCACTCTCTTCGAGTTTGTAGGGTTTCTGCTGAGAGGTCTGCTGTGAGTCTGACAGGCTTCCCTTTATGGGTAACCTGACCTTTGTCTCTAGCTGCCCTTAGAATTTTCTCCTTTATTTCAACCCTGGTAAATCTAGCAATTCTGTATCTTGGAGTTGCTCTACTTGAGGAATATATTTGTGGTGTTCTCTGGATTACTTGGAGTTGAATATTGTCCTGCCTTACTAGGTTAGGAAAGTTATCCTGAATAATATCCTGAAGAGTGTTTTCCAGCGTGGATTCATTCTTCATGACATTCAGGTACACATATCAATCACAAATTAGGTCTTTTCACATAGTCCCATATTTCTTGGAGACTTTGCTCATTCCTTTTTACTGTTTCTTCTCGAATCTTGTCTTCTTGTTTCATTTCATTAAGTTGGTCTTCGACCTCTGATATCCTTTCTTCTGCTTGATCAATTCGACTGTTAAAAACTGTGCATACTTTGTGACATTCTCGTATTGCATTCTTCAGTTCCATTAATTCACTTATATTTCTCTCTAAATTGTCTATTCTCGTTAGCATTTTGTCAAACCGTTTTTCAAGGTTCTTAGTTTCTTTACATTGGGCTAGAACGTGTTCTTTTAGCTCACAAAAGCTCCTTATTATCCACCTTCTGAAGCCTAATTCTGTTAATGGAACACGCTCGTTCTCCATCAGGCCTTGTTCCCTTGTTGATGAGGAACTGTGATCCCTTGTAGAAGGAGAGGTATTCTGATTTTGGGTATTCTCAGCCTTTTTACGCTGGTTTCTTCCCATCATTGTGAGTTCATCCACCTGTCATCTTTGTAATTGTCAACTTTCAAATTAGGTCTCTGAGTGGACGTCCAACTTGTTGATTCCCAGTGCTGAAATCTGAGCAACCCACTGCGCCAGCCAAAACAGCAGCATTAAGATTCGTGGTGCTTTTCTGTCCAGAAATCTCTGGTCTGGCTTCCCGCTTGAATCCCTTTTTCAATCAGGTGAATGGGTGACTCTGCCTTCCCAGAGCTCCACACATTGACCAAAAGGGGACCCAGTCCTGTTTACTCTGCGCCGAGAACCGCCACGCCGGGGCGCCAGCAAAACCGCCACGCCAGCCACAAGAGTCACGCTGGCAACCTGTGGGGCTCCTCTGCTGGGAATCTCCTGGTCTGTAGGCAACAAAAATCCACCTGAAAGTGTGGTGTCCTCTCGTTCTGTGTGCTTTCTCTGGGAGCTACAATCCTGAGCTGCTAGTGGTCGGCCATCTTGGATCTCTCTCTGCCCCTATTTAAATATTAATGTCATGAGAATATTAAAGACATTTGCCAGAGTTCCAACAAAAATCATTAAAGGACAGCTAAGAAATTATTAATGTTAATATCAAAATTATTGATAATCTTAAACTGTTGATTATTCCCAATGTACTCCATTCTCCTTTTACATTTTATAATGTTTCTTTTGAATATATGAATTGGCAAACAGCCTGATGAAACTGAGTACTAAGATTTAGTACAGAGTGTGTCAAGAAGAGAACTCAGATTGCCATTTTAAAGTTGTACATGAACAATAATTGGAATCAGGTAATTTTTTAAAACAAAGGCTTATTGTAATGCTTGGGAAAAAATTAGAAAATAAAGTAAGTGCCATAGGCTAATTAAAAAATAAAACTTTAGAACAAGCGTTTTCCAGAAGAGAAGCCATCAAACCAGGGTATGTTGGCATTACTTGTTTTATATTGAGTATTGAGATGTGATAAACCTTTATATATGCTATCACTGCTCAATTTCCTAAAATATTTTGGTGTTTTCATGGGACCATATCTTGTATAATCTGACATGTGCGACTTGACTAGTCATAACAGTTCTTTTTAAAGGTGTATGTGAGAATGTGAGACTTAAATATTGGAAAAGGCAACCCAGTGCCATAAAGCAGAAATAGTGACCTTTAAAATGACTAAAATTTCAACCCAGTGTAGTTTCATGCCTATTTCATGCTTTCTCATAGGAAAGAATTTCATGTTTTAGAAACATTTCTTTCACTATGGGATTAATAATGTGACACCGAAATGGAATTATATGTCAGTTAAAATTCACTAACATTGACAGGCAACATTTTGGCATATGGTTAGACAGGTAGGGGAACATGGTACTGTTTAACATCTTAAGAGTACGGGCCAGGCGTGGTGGCTCATGCCTGTAATCCCAGCACTTTGGGAGGCCGAGAGGGGCAGATGACGAGGTCAAGAGATTGAGACCATCCTGGCCAACATAGTGAAACCCTGTCTCTATTAAAATATAAAAAAATTAGCTGGGCATGGTGGCGCACGTCTGTAGTCCCAGCTACTCAGGGGGCTGAGGCAGGAGACTTGCTTGAACCCCGGAGGCAAAGGTTGCAGTGAGCCAAGATTGCACTACTGCACTCTAGCCTGGCGCCTGGCAACAGAGCAAAAATGTGTCTAAAAAAAAAAGAGTATGTGAGGCATGTGTATATAGAATGTTTTTATTTTTGCTCATCACAGCCAGGTTTCATCAGTATTTAAGATTGTGGCTTGGAATGTGGTTCAGCCATTTACTCACTTATACAAATATTCAGAAGTGTAATAAAAACGTGAATGAAGAAAGCTTTGATATGACTCTTCTTGCCTGGATAAATGGTTGCAGATGACATCACTTTTAGTATAACAGAACATTTCTGGTTTTGACCTCTTTATATTTTCTTCTTTGGATACTTAAACAATAAACAAATGCTTATTTTAAAATAAAAAAAAGAGTATTGTACTGAGACATGAATAAACACATCAAAGGAACAGAAAGGTGGCTCCAGAAATACACCCAAGAACACTTGGGAATTTAATATATGATAAATGTGGCATTTAAACCAATGAGAAAAAAAAAGATACCTTTATCAATAGATGATGTTGAAACAACCAGGTAGCTCTCTGGGAGAAAATAAATGAAATTAGATCTGTGCCTTTCACACACTATACCAAAATAAATGTCAGGTGAATCCAATTTGAATATTTAAAAAAATAAAACTACAAAAATTCTTTTTACTCCCACATGAGGAAAAAACTACATAAAGTCAAAAGAAAAGAACAATTTATGTAAAGTTCTAGGATAGACGAAACTCAGCTATAGTGATAGAAATCACATCAGTGATGTGATTCC